GATAGACACTGCATGATGCTTGTTTATTATTGCATTCTTAACAAATGACTCCAATCGAACTAAATGGTCAATGGTACCGGATTTTTACGAAAACCATATTGAATATTTGTTATTAAATTATTGGATTCTAAGTAAGCAGTCTATTATTGGCCATGCGTTCCATGGTTTTGCAAACGCAACTAGTCAATGAAATTTTGTCTATGATTTGATGGATCGGTATGATCCCGTCCAGGTTTCGGTATGGGAACAACAATGGCATCACGCCATGAAGAAAGAAATTTACCAGATGTCCAAATATCATCAAATATTAACAGTAGGGTTTCTAAACATGATTCCGGTAAATGTTTCAGGAGTTGATAATGGATTTTATCAGTTCCTGCGGCAGTATCATGAGCTTGCCCAAGGGCAGTATGGATTATCTGATTTAAAATTGATGTTTTTCTTTTCCTGATGCTTTTGATATTTTTTTAAATGTTGGTACATAGTTAGTCGAGGAAGAATGTTTCGCCAAAGTTTCTCAAGGTTTATGAGCAATATCTGAACAACCAGTAAGCAATTCATCCCCATTTTAAGGATGGTGGATGCTGGCTTTGGAACCCTTACCTTTGTTCCATACTTTGGACATCGGAGTCCGTGAATTTATTTTTGTAACATAGTTCTGCCAGGATTGACGTTTATTTCGTTTAAATGTTCGTCTGGCTTTAGCATTTACGATTTTATATTTATTCAAATTATGGACCATAGGATGGCGACGGAAATAGTGTTCAGCTTTTTTTCCGTGCCATCCTAGCTTGTTGGCAATCGTTAGTAAACAAAGTCTAAACAAGAATATGTTCCAGTTGCAGGATGGAGATATGTTTCAGAATAATCATTGAAAATACATCGTTTTAAGAAAAACTCCTCTAAACATTTACTCTTTGAATTGCTGTCATTACTGCCCCAAAGTGGGTTATGGCCAATTAAATCTCCCATGATAACGCAGGGCTTAGGGAGTTGGTCATACACTGCCTGAAGATAAGACTGTCGGAGAGAGTACGATGGTGGTACGTACAAAGAACACAAAGTAAAAACAATATTCAATGTTACGGGTACTGCAACAGCCTGAGAAAGGGGTATTGAGATTAACAGGACTGTGAATTATGCCCTGCCTCACCAAAACAGAAGATCCTCCAGTTGTTTATCACCTGGAGGGGAAAAGCAATGGTAAGAATCGTACTGTCTTAAATCAAATTTATCTGTTGTTTTGATGAAGGTTTCCTGAAGACAAAATGCTGATGGCTTGAAATCTTGAATTAATAGCTGAAGATCATTAAAATCGTTCCGAAATCCTCCAGAATTCCAATGTATTAAATTCGGACAGCAACTCATGGAGGCTCAATTGGAGCTCGTACGCGTGGGGAAGGTGCTGTATTTTTTTCCTTCATTGTATTTTTTCCTTTGTTCGAAAGTTGTCTATTAGTTTTCATTTCAGGTACACAGTCTGGTTGAATACAGGGTTCTGGCAAAGGTACAGCTTTTGGCAGCGGTTCAGTTTGTGCAGCTGATGAAGTGCAGATGTCAACATCTATTTCTTACAGAATTTTCTGATCTGTGGATATCCAGCTAATAGCCGTTTGACAGCTATTATCAGCCTTGACCGGAGAAGAGGATATTGCCGCCGAATACATTGGTGAAGAAGTGGAAATCGTTTATTCACTTGTAACCAACTTGTTCGCCTCTGTAAATGATATATCATTTGTGTATTTCAGTGTTAGAATTTTTGTCTGTGTCACAAAAGAGGTCTTACTGCAGCGAGAGCAAACTTGGGTATGGCGACAGCATTTGGCTCCATGTCCAAATTGTTGACATTTAAAACAACGGAGTGGATTTGGTATATATACATCCACTGCGATGTTAAAATAACCGGCTTTAATGGAGGTAGGAAGCTTTGTGAGGGCAAATGTGAAAAGATACGTAGTTGTTTTAATGATAGTATCACTTTCTTTCATGGTGAACCGTTTCACAGAAGATACACCTTGAGATTTCAATTCTGCAACAATCTCTTCTTCAGACATGTCTGTGAGGCACTTTGCACAGTCACGTACAATGCCCCTACATGAATTGAGGGTTTTGTGCACAGAAACAACAATCTCTGTATTTGCAAAATGTTTGGCTTTGAGTAGATTCAGAGATTGCTGTTTCCTTGCACATTCCACAAGCAGGGAACCGGACCAGAGACGAGTAACATTTTTTACAGTACCACAAATACCTTCAATAGATTTTGAAACTACAAAGGGGTTGAGTTTGAGAGGCTCTCCTTCAACCCTCTCAAGACCTAGAAATCATTGCCACAAATCAATATTTTGTACAGATTCCTCAGCAGAAAGTAATGCAGCATCTGTATCAATATGCCTTCTTTTATTTATTTTTTATCCAGAACAAGTGAACTGTGGGGTATCCATTATGGAAGAAATAATTTTCAACAACCCTGCTCCTCACCAACCATGTAGTGTCTACAAGGACGATGCTGCAGTGGGAGCCGACTACAAACACCAGGGTTTCGGGGGTGCTGTACTCCAGAAGAAAAGACACAGGAAATAAAATGGTCAAACAGTATAAAAGTAAGACTGGTTCCGCCCCGGAGACAGTTAGCTGATGACAAATAGAACCCGATGCTCAATAATGCCAGAATGGCCCATTAGCAACCGCCTTCTGGCATAGGACTCTAGGCAGATTTATAATGTTTCCAAAATCTTAAGGATATATTCAAAATTGAAATATACCATGCACAGGGCATGGCGTGACCAGCCGATTGATAGAACCGGCCCATTCTACCACCCGTCTAGGTGAAGTTAGGGTCAAAGTGGTGTGTTGGGCAAAAGGGACACTTTTCCTGGCTCCAGTGCCCTCAACCACTAGAAATCCTCCCTCCACCGACACAAGGACACAGACAGAGCAATTTAGGAAAACCTTGACTTACCCTGTGTACCCATTCCAATCCTCTGCTTATCAACTCGACACTCGCAAATAAACATTTGTTCGCTACCCTTCTAAATTAAATTATGAAACGTTACTATGTTATTCCAAATGGGAACACAAATCAAATTGTCAATATACTGACAATGATTGAAAAGCGTTTAATATTGTCGCAGATAAATGCACTCAAAGTATATGTCAAGATCACAGATAATCTTGTATATATTAATTATATGTTAGTACTTTATATAGATGTATAATGGTATGGTTACATTAGTATGTTAAGGTTGTTTTTAGATATTGTCAGGTCATACTATGGGAACAGGTTAGATTCAGGGAAGCGTGACTTGGTACGGCTGATAGTTGGGGAGTTAATTGGTGTAACAATAGGGAGGTCAGGGGTAGCTTGGACTTTGGGGTCAGTTTAAATTGCGGGGCAGGGTAATAATTTGTACAGTCAGCCAGAATCAGTATGATCATTTAAGGCATGGACTAACATTGTGGAAGATTTCTACTCTTGGCGTAAGTTTTTACATTTTTTTGTTTCATGTAGAATTGTATTTTAGAGGATAGAATTTTGAGTTATGCATTGTTTTCAAATGTAATGATATACTCATACAGATTGTAATAACGTAAAGCCACTGTAACAATAACAACAACATGATCAAAGTATAAACAGCTCGACTCAGTAAAATGTAAATCGGAGTATTGGTGCATTGTTGTATGTATTGTAAGGTAGTGACACATACCTCAGTAACTATAGTTGCTTATATTATATTTTAGTGTCATGGAACTGGCCTCAAGTACGTAGGAGGAAAGAAGTACCTCCGATAGTATGTAGTAGGAAGGACGAACCTCCAACATTACGTAAGGAGAGAAGTTCCCCGACGCTACGTAAGGAGAAATCTCCGTTGCAGTGCACATCATAGGATGAACACAGCCGTGGCATCTAAGTAACTCAGGCACCCTTAACGTACGTACGTAGCTTACGTATGTATTCTGGTAAGTCATGGCTTGAAAGAACGGAGCCACTAAGTCCTGGTGAAAATCGGGGAAAATCCAAAGTTGGACTGCCTTGGTGGTTGGAGGGCCCACGCCGAGTTCCAAGACCTTAGAATAAAACTGATATTACCTTGTATAATAAGTGAAGACCGAGAAGGTTTTGTTGTTGGAAGGCATACTGAAGAGTCGAAGTAACTAAAGTTTTTAGATTTCTGGCTTACCACTATCAGAAACCTTTCAATTCGCAAGATAGAGAATAGTTCATAAACGTCTTAAGTTTTCTTTAATTTCGTACCAAGCATTTCTTGTTGGATAGAAACGTTCTGCAATTCCTCTTGTCATATATCTTAGTAGGAAGTCTGGACATTTAATAAGGTGTCTCACTTGCTTATTGTTGTCGCGTCTGAGTGATTGATGAGGTGAAGATACTCATTTATTGCGGCATTGTTGAAAACTGTGAGGTCTTCAACCAAAGTGGAAGGTCTTGCCAACGTTTCATATCTTTGATTAAACCATGTTTAAATGTGATGAAGTTAACTTTCCGAAATCATTTATTGGAAACAAAAGCCGTTTGAGTACCAAATATGATCACAGAATAAGGTCAAACCAAATCTCTCTCACGAGGCTATTTTGTGATGTTGAGCAAAAGAAGCACAGCTTCGTTACATCTTTTGTAATAAGTTACACCAGTTTTACTGGTTCCAATACCAACGATAACCTGTACAGGTTTGTATGTATTAACATGGATGCATATAAAGTGATGACTTGCATGTCAATTTATTTCAATGACATGATAGATGGATTGTTGTTGATGATTGATGCAATTATTAACTAGATAAAATGCAAGCAGTCACAATTGATATTTAGACTAGCGGTGTCCTAATCTGATTCAGTAGAGACATGTATGTGGCGCAATGACGACTCTCGATGACGAACTTAGACCCATGATGTTATCTCACCTCACCTTCAGGTTACCTACATAACGGGTCTTGAGATCACAAACATATGCATGAGTCAAAAAAGAGGATTTATTACGTAACAGATACATTAAACTGGTGTACGTCCTGACGCTGGATAAGTCAATACAAAAATTTTCTTCCGAATTGAGACATCTATACTGACAGCTGACACGTGGATTCACCACTGACAATGTTATTCTACCCGAATTGAAGCGACCATCAACATATAGTGACGTCCGACATAGGGTTGCACAAAACCAATGCTATACTACTAACGTGATACTTCAGTAGAACTGTAATACACAAGGCACAAATACTTCAACAAAACACCCGTGAAGATCCGGGTTAGAATTGGTCGAAAAGGTCGACTATGCTTATCGCAAGAGGCTACCAACTTCATCCTGTGGCCAGGCTCGCTGATTTGCTTATTGAGAGTCAACGTATCCCAATTGCATAGATCAATTCTTTTGACATCAGCCACTAGATTGTCTGGTCCAGACTTGATTATTTACGGGCCACCGTCATATGGCTGGAATATTGCTGAGTGCGGCGTAAACAACAAACTAACAAACAAATATCAACAAACAATGGAAATACCACTTACACATGAACACGTGGATAGACATGTAAAAAGAAATATCCATAAAAAAGGAATACGAATATCACATACCTCACCAGTACGTAAATAGACACCAAACAGAACTGTCACAATAGTGTGTGAATGATGTCTTCGGCAATATCCAAAAATATTGTAAACTTGTACGTAAACAGACATGTGCCAACTTTAAACATCCTCGTATGTGATCAACCTATTCCCATTACGTTGTAGACAACTAGTGATATATACTATGAGTTCATGGTTTCTACGTATATAGCTCATGTGATGAACGTGACCGTAGTTTGTGCCATGTCAAAAATATGCTATCTTAAGGAAACCAATCAAAGTTGTTATGATGAACAGCATGAAAAACAAACAAAAGAAAAGTTTGTTCATCATTCTGCTAACTCGCTTCCAGGTCACTGATGGGGGATTCCATGCGTCCTTTGACATCCTTTCCTGTGTCAGGGTCTCCTGGTTTCCGACTGCAGGGGTGCCACAGATGCATCTCTCCCAGGACCTTGTTATACGACCCATCCAGGAAGGAACAGGCCTGATGACAGCGTCTCGATAGAACACCTGCGTGATCCAGATGGTCAGAAACACGTAGATAGAGCTCATTACAAATTGGCCAACAATGAAGATAGTAAATACAGGTAAGGTGTCACCGTTCTGAGGCAGCAGTCCAGTGATGAAGGCCAGGGATACCATGAAAGAGAGCAGCACTGTGATGGCGAAGGACAGCTTCTCCCCAGATTCCACAGGGATAAGGAACACCATCACATTGACTAATGCCAGCATCAGGACAGGCAGGAGAACTGTCAGTATAACTAGGGAGGACTTTCTCTTCAGTGTCATTTTGAAGTTTATAAATGGATGAGGCATGTCGCTGGTTTCAACGACAACTCTTTGCGCAGATGTGTAAATAATATCCCATTGGCTGTTAGCGTTAAACAGGTCTAATCCTATAGAGTTATTGATCGGTTGTAAATCCACTTCTTTTAAGGTATTTCCCCAATCAAACGTACTGTAAGTACATTCTTGTTCATCCAAAGGAAAATTGGTAACATCCATTTGGCAGAAAGTCTTGAAGGTATCACCAGGTGCCCAATTCACAATTCCATTGGCTGTCACTTTCATGATCCCGAAGTCGAGTCCCAGGGGTTCAACACTATCCACGACGTTGTTAATAGTGATGTAAGGTCTCCACACCATCCCATAGTCAGGACTTATTTCACTGACCCCTCCATACTCGCTGGCGTTCCACGTTAGGAGCTCATCTTTCCAGATAACTAAGAAAAACCCATTAGCTGTCACTGTCTGAGTCACTTCATCAAAATCAGACATGCTGAGAAGATGAAGTTGTAATGAGACTGTGATGGTGTCACTGCTGTTCTTGACAGGTCTGACTTTCGGGTTGTTGTTTTTGATGATGTCATTGTGTAGTCGAAGTATATGGTGGTCATCCTGACCCCTAGTGGTCCCCAGTAACGAGAGTAGGTACAGTCCACATGTTACTACCTCCAGCCGATGCACCCTTACCTCCGTGTACAGCCGCAACATTTATATTCTCTGTCTGGTACCCGAGATGTCCATTCCACTCTGCTGGGCGTCAAGCCAGTGGTGGCGAATTATAGTGTCAATCAGCTAGACTTGGTTGTAAAGTAGTAAATATGCTTTTACCCGTTTATTGTTTGAACTGTAAACGCTATTAACTAAACTGTTTCACTGTTTGCATTTGCGTAATTCTATCATCAACCATTATGTGAATACTATGGGATACACTCTAGGAAACCCACGCATGTACATTCACTTGACTGCATTATTAACGGCAGAATTTTATGTCCTTGTGCCGATCATATAACAAAATGTGGTCATTAATTCCTACAAAGAACAACAAACAGAGAACTACAGCTATGTGTCAGTGATATATTAATGCACTGACGACTTCGGAAACATGTGAATATATAGTAATTGAAAACGTGACTGTTATTAATAATGAGGTCATTAATTGTAACAAGCACATTTAGATCAATAAACGGACTCTTTTTCTTCTTTGTAGTGCAAGACCGCCTCCGTTGTCTAGTGGTAGAGCGTCCGCCCGTTGAGCGGAAGGTCCGGGGCTCGATCCCCGGCCGTGTCATACCAAAAGACGTTTAAAGATGGTACTTGTTGTTACCCTGTCTGGCGCTCGGCATTAAGGGGCTAAAACAAGGACTGATCGGCTCAGAGTCAGTATACTGTGTCTGAGTGGGGTATTCATGTTAAACTGCGGCATGGTATCTCGGTGTGCTAGCACTATAAATCGGCATCAGTCTGGACTACTACAAGCAGACACACACACACACACACACACACACACACACACACACACACACACACACACACACACGTGCATGCACCTTTGTAGTGCATTGTCCCCTCACACTGATTATATTTGTAACTTATCACCAACAATAAAAGGTATTATTTCCATCCGGCCCTTTTTGTATCATGCCTGCATCCTTCCAATATAGTCTTATGTCACATTATAGGGACACTGAGCTGTGTAATCGAGATAACCTGACATAGCATAACTGAATTAAAATAGTTCCATTATGATTATTTGCTAAAAAGACCATTGTACGATTCCGACTATAAAGAAGAAGAAGAAGAAATTCAGAGTCGTATGACCCTCTTTGAAATCTTGGTAGAAAGAGCATGCTCAATTCTATCTCAAAAGTTGTAAAATGTCAACACCAGAGCCTAGAGCTGCTGGAATATTGCTCGACATAAAGGGAAAGTTGACTGTCGGACAGTTGATGTCATCTTGTCATACAGTCTGGTGGAGAGTGTTTTGTCACTCTGAATCCCTGAAAAAGGGGACCACAATTAGTGCCCATGTGGATGCCTACTTCTTGCCTTAATATCTTACTCCAAAATTTTACGTAGATGTTATCAGTGAGTAAGTCCAGCATTTCACATGTTGTTTTTTTACTAAAAAGTTTAAGTTTACTAAATGCAACATGGATAATGAAGAGCCTGAAGAAGTTTGACCACAGGACTACTAACGTGCGCAGGCGCTTTGGCCTTATGATATTTACCATGCGCACAGACAGCGTCTGAAATACGTTTACGCGAGATCGCAGGAAAATGAGAGTGGCCTAATTTGACAAGTCGAGACTGCTGAGATTTTGCTTCATTTCCAGATGTCGCATTCTCCCGTTGTGCTTCGTACAAAAAAAACGGAAATGCGAGATCGCGAGAACGAGAGAATTTGGTCTGACGATCTCGCATTCTTGTGTTTGGGGCATATTTAGCTCGTTTCCACGAGAATGTCCCTTACACTATGCCATAGTGACTTCTTTCCGTGTTTGAATAAACTGAAGTGAAAATCTGTGTTCAACTCCCAGAGATTTTGTTTGTCTGGTACAGTATTTAACCACTAAATGTCAAGTTTGAGTAGCTCAATACTTTGTGGAAATGTTGGTTTATTAAATAAACTTTACCTCAAACTTTTGTTGTTTTTAGTTTATCTATTACAGTCACTTCAATCTGTTTCTTTTGCCGTTCAGTTTATATCAGTTAAAGTTTGTGTAAGATGTTATCATAAGGTAACGGACTTGATGTATGATAAGCAAAATATGCTTCTCTTTTTTTTTTTAAAAACTCTCAACTGATATTCTTGCGAATGGTATTCACGATGTACAACTATCTCAGATATGTTTCATATCATCTTCCCGAGACAAGTTAGTTAACTGACTAAATGTTCAGTTTCCACCCTTGCCGAACTAGGCTGGAATTTCTGGGTTCGATCGTAGCACCACCAGTGGCCATTACGAGTTATGCCCCTTTTATGTCCATCCAATCATATTCCACCTCTCATATCACATGCATTTGCTTCAAACAAAATGGGGGTGGGGGGGTGGGCACGGGTGGCCCAGTCATCTTAGGCGCGGCGAGTTGTGCAGAGTTGCGTCCCTTGGAAACCTATGATTGTTGGTTCGAATCCCGGTTCGCCCCGTTTATGTTTCTAGGTTTGTCAGCACCATACCCGTGCTCGTGTGTTCCATCGAAGTGGTAAACGTCTGAGGTCTGCATCACTTCGGGCTTTCCTCCCACATTAAGCTGACACGCCGCGATATGACTGGAATACTGTTAAAAGCGGCGTTAAACCCAACTCACGCACTCTCTCAAACAAAATGGCGGCGCCAAGTCAAGACGATCTGATCGATAATCAAATCTACATTGTGATAAAACGAGTCTCACTTCGTGAAGTGCATCAATCGCAAGAGCGCCTTGATAAAAAACATAATTTATAGAAAATATCTGTTGACGCTGAGTTGGAGGAACACATGTTTTCGCAACCTTTGTCTATGTCATTGCGCGATTTTGTTTGGACTATGCATAGACGAGTTAGTCCAGCCAACAATATGAATCAATAAGTCCAGCCCAGTTCGGCAAGGATGGAAACCAGACTTCTATAGTCAGTTAACTCCCTTGCCTTGGGAAGATGGTTGCATATGTTTATGTTTCTTTTGTGTCATATTAGTATCTGGTGGTCTACAGTGAAAACTTTAATTTAATTTAGTAGAAAAATGGATTTACCAGGTTCACTAGCTCGATATTTTAAATAACTTTAACTATCTATCTTTGTTATATATATGTATAGCTACCACGAATAAAGCAGTAATGGATTTGTCTTTACGAGCTAAAAGAGCACTTCATATTATTATGGGGAAGCTGAGCACACATTCCCTGAGTGTTCGTCAAACTACTTGATAGCGTAATAAGTATATGTTACCTTATTCTGCGGAGGTATGGGGTGTCAAGAGATTTGACTGTGTAGACAACGTGCATTTACCCGTTTGTAAAAGAATTATTAATGTCTGACCACAAACACCAAGTATTATGTGTAAGGTGAATGTGAACGATTTCCAGATTACATTAATGCTACTAGGAGAAGCATCAAATATTGGTTTAAAGTGTTATCGGTCATGAAGCACGCCTTCTTCAGAAAGGTTAAGAACATGTTAATATCACTCCGGATATAACACTGGAGCATCCGAAATAAGCTGTTTGCTGATTCCACATGGAATGGGAGTAGCATGGTTATCAAAACCTAAATATGTCCCTGAACTGTTTCGAGAATGTGCCATTAATATAATCTTATAAAAATTGGAACATACACTCGTAGATATACGTGTCGTCACTATTTCGCCTTTTACGTCCAATTGAATCCGACTTTGGCAGATAATAGAGACTGATGTACCGCCAGCGTTGACGTTTTCAATGATACAAACAACTGAACGTCAAAAACAGGCTTTACTTCGCAATTGAAACATAATTACATATTTGCACGGAATATCGTTAGAAATAACAAATTTGACCCACCAGGAGAAAAGGGACCCTGAGGGTGCTAGGCTACAATTGTATTGTGACGTCATTAAGAGGGACGTTTGACGTCAACTTACTTCCGTAAAAAAAGGCCATGTGTGCTGACATCTTACTTTTCTAGTTCGTAATGTAATAAAACTTTTTTCAAAACATTTCAGCATACATGTCCCACTTTCAATTAATCAGACAGTATATCTAAATACTTCAATTATTACATAAACAGTTTCATAAACTATTTTAAATTGGACTTTGCAGAAAATGAGTCAAAATGTTTGATGCAATGTATCCCTGTACTAAATATGAATTGAAGCTTGAGATTATTTTGTGTTCCTAAAATACTGTAGTTTTTTCAACATAATGAGAAGTCAAAATGTGATTTTTCATCCAAAAGGTTCACTTGTCTCATGGTTGGCCATAAATATTAAAAAAATATGCAGATACAACTATCTCAATTACGTTACTATAAACCAATGGCTTCATCAGCATAATGTTATTCTATCGATACTTGCGACTGAGTAACAAATACATCTCCCCTGAACCGTGCATAACATCATTGTGTGCTTGTTTCACCTAACCACTGACTACTGTCTGGAATCACAAACTGAGTTCGAAGAAAAACAACATATTTGGTGTAAAGCACTACATCCATTATGTTTGTATCCCGCGTGTATGTGAGTTTACGCGAGTACATCAAGGATATACATTGATGTTTAGTCAAGAGGACTAATAAATGTGTGAGTCTTTATTCAGAAAACTGAGTAGCCCACGACACGATCTACTGTTTGACACACTGGGTCGGGACAGGCCAATATCAATATATAACCCCGATGCAATCCGTCATCCTGTCAAGCACATCAGTTCTCCATGTAATGTCGGTCGATAAATAGACGTCTAATTGCTGCAATGACAAAATCAAGACTGAGTTTTTTTCTCAATGATCAAATAATGTCTCTGGTGTTACCCTCTTTGAGAAATAATGCCATTTGGATTTTCCGGAAATCAAACAGTCCCAGTCCAAATGTCACACACAGTTACAACATTCAAAATGCAATATTCACTGCTACAGGAGGCATTTTTTTTAATATATAACGTCAACGCCAGGAAATTCTCAGTCTAGACTGAAACATATGCTGAAACATATTTTATTGGGAAATAAAAGGCAAAATAGATGTGAAAATTATATGAATGGATCACTGAAATTAATTCTGACACCAGGTGGTCACGAAAATGGCTGTCTTCAAAGCTTATAGGTGTCCTCGTGGATGCACAATTTATATAAAACCTTTTCATGGTCTCTTATTGTGATTGTTTTCTTTGAGTGGTGTTGAGTGTAAATGGCAAGGTCAGATGTGGTAATGTACATACTTGAATGCATTTTGTAATAAGTTCATGAATTGTTTTTGAAGTTTTTGTTTCGTTTCGTTTCGTTTCGTTTCGTCCCAGTCGTGATATGGCTGAACTAATGCTAAAGTCGGCTCAAAAGAATATTCATTAGCTCACTCACTCATTCAATCATTCTTGGACGGTGATTGGACAATCTGATTCCCAGAATATGTCTTAATCAGTCACTCAAAAATCAGATGTTTTTCACAGAAATCAGTTTTAACGATATAAATGAAATTGAATACGTGTTTTACCTTGATAACACATCTCGCATCTGCTTTCTGATTCGCCAAGTTTGCTACACATGGAATTTCTGCTGTTGAGACAGACACATGTGGGTAATTGATTTATGGTGCATGTTATACTCTGGGGAATTTAACATTATAGATGACTGATGTGATAAATTAGCGTTGTATAAGGATATTACAGGTGTCAAATGACTGGTTGATTGTTTACCTGGCAAATATCGGCCTCGGCGTTCTGTATGTCTTAATGATATGTACTTGTCTCTCTCAGTGTCATGTATCAACTCTAACTACTGAATAAACGTTCATTATTGTATTAGCCATTTGCCAATATTTAGCAATGGCTTGGGTGTAATGATTTTCGGAACTTTCCAAGAATACACTGATAGGAGTTCAGTGCACAGTTTATCTCCAACCTAGTTAGTCTCGGACGAATTCGGGTGTAGTGTACTGAACACTCTCTGCGAAGGTAGCAGAGGCTTTCTAGGAGATAATAATGCATGTACCTCACATACTTCTCCACAATTCAACCGGACCATGTGATGAATTAATGATGTATGTGCGCATATTTGGATGAGTTTATCCTGATAGATTGCCTCCTGAATGTGTCATGTTATCAACTGAAAAAACAACATCGACATGAATAATATCAATCAAATCTCACGAGGTCAATGTAAGACCATGTCTTTCAAAGTATATTTATTTCAGCCACGTTTTTATTCGTAGTATATATGTTCGTTTAACTTTGGCTAAACTTGTCAATAATCGCCAACAGCTGAAGGGATGAAGTAAATCCGGCTGGGGTCCATGCAGGTAGCAAAAGTACTGTAAGTCCCCATGGACCCTAGCATGGTGATCTACCTTCAGCTGCTGACGATCTGTAGCCCTTTTTTATATTGTATCGTCATGTATTGTGCTATGCTCTTTTATAATTCCTTACTAGTTTTATATCTTTTTCTGTGATAAATCTAGTGATTTTACTGTCCTTCGTTGACAGGTTTTTAAATCAGTTTAAATATATGTATAATGATTAAATATTGATAGTCACGATATGGCTGAAATATTGCCGATGTGACTTAAAATTTAACTCACTCACTCACTCACTCACGAGGTCAACGATGATTGTAGCCAAAACAAGCACAGAATTGGAGATATTTCTACAGACAGATCAATCTGTTTCAGAAAAAGAATCTGATTGTATCTCAATGTTTCATAATATCTTTCGGTTTGGCATCGTTGGTGTTAAACGTTAACACGTGTACATTATCAGAACAACAGGGGAATGTAAGCTTTCCAACATCGTCTACCTTTGGTGACTGTGACCGAGGATGCATTGTTACGGCGACAATGACGACCCCTGAAACGGGAGTCATCACTTTACCTTGGAGTCTGGAGATGTAAAACGGTTGTGATGCTACAAACTCATGCACGTGTCAATGAAAAGGATATACTACGTAATGGAAACATAATACATATACAATACAAGACACTCATCAATAGCAACATTATTCCACCTAAATTAATACGACCATCAACATATAGTAACGCTGTCATGTGGGGAGTGAGTGAGTGAGTGAATGAGTATGGTTTTACGCCGCTTTTAGCAATATTCCAGCAACAGCTTCACACATTGTACCAATGTCGGGAATTGAACCCGGGTCTTCGGCGTGACGAGCGAACGCTTTAACCACTAGGCAACCCGACCGCCCCGTCTGTCATATGGATACACAAAGCCAATGTTATACTATTAATTTCATACTTCAGCAGGCATAGCACATCCATGAAGGCACGGATACATTAGAATTACACATGAGTATATTATGGGTTAATCAATACGAATATTGTATAACCGACATACATGTATATGTAATACATATGTCACATACGAGAAAGGGTTTCTCAATACAAATACTATATATATTAATCAAATGGACTAGTAGATAGAGTACCTGCCAAGATAGGGGAAGGTCGGCGGTTCGATCCCCCGCCGCGTCATTTCAAAAGACAACACGGTTAAAAGACGTAATTCTGTTGCTACCATGCCTGGATCTCAGTATTAAGGGGATTAAAACAAGGCCTGGACGATTCGGAGTTAGTATACTGTGTCTGAGTGGGGTATCAATGTTAATCTGCAGGATGATATCTCAATTGGCTAGCACTACAAAACCGGGGTAAATACGGGCTAGCACAAGCAGTCAGACACACATGCACGTCTCTATGTAAGTGCCAATATATCAATACAATTGCAAAACCACAGATACCAAAGATAGAGAAATATAGCTAACAAATGAATGCATCGATAGAAGTGCACATCAGTACGGGAATAGACAGCACGTTGAACTGCCAACAGATACATATATAACACACTGGTACGTGTGTGTATGTATGTATATATATATATATATATATATATAGAGAGAGAGAGAGAGAGAGAGAGAGAGAGAGAGAGAGAGAGAGAGAGTGAGTTTAAGAATTTATTAATACTGAGAAAGAAACCAAGGTAAAGCCTTAAAGGGGTTTGTCTGACACCTCCCACTACCCCTCACTAGGTGACGTGAGTACATTTGCTAGCTAACGCAACCGAGCGTGACAATAGACTGGGCTACCGTCTTTAAGGACAGCGTAAATAAACTTTGAGGCAATCTTCTATAAGCATTTCTGAACACTGATTGCTTACCCGTGATCTATGAAGATTTCGATATTTCTTCAACCTAAACAAACAGACAAAAAGAACGCTTGGAGCTCACAAGGTGTCATTACTAGTATTTGGAAATACCCTGAAAGTATCCTTAGCCAACAGTTTACATGGTGGACACATGCATGATCATCTTGTTTTAGTACAGGTACTATCTGTTTTTAAATAATAGTTCATTTTCTGAAGCATATAAACATTAAGATGACTTTATTTTCAAATGATTGGTCGCCCAATGAAATGCTCACATTTTAAAACCTTGTAATCTTGTAACCCTTGTAAAATCAGAATGTCAGCCTCTAATACACCTAAAGTAAAAAATAAAAGTTTGATGTACGTCATGATTAAATATTTACTTTGGGTTTCAGTTCTGAAAATCCGGTTATTGCATGTAATTCCTACTGTATTATTTCAAACAAAAGAAAAGTCCCGCTTTTAGTCGATGCCTGATAAAAATATGTAAGTGTTGCCGAAACAATTTTATTAGTTGGACATAATTTCATAATCGATGGAGGGCACTTCCAAATTTGACGCATCAGTGACAAAATGATGTCGGATGCAATTCCCGATTTTCACTTGTACCATATGTCCCCGTGTTTTTCAGGTGAACAATTGACTTGCTTTTACATATGTAAGTGACGCATGCTACAGGTGAGACAGGATACGCTCACCGTTTCGTGAAAACCTGTTATCTTTACTATTTGATAATGATTCATAAATACATGCTCATGATATTGTCGAAATCGTGCAATCGACTCTCCTTTCCGCAGCGATTTCTAATGAACATTGATCAGCGACTGGCAGTCAATCAGAACCCTATTAGGAAATTGGTCTCATGGGTGCACTCACACATGGATCAAAGATTATTCTATGAATGTTAATGTTTTTCGTGGTTATTGTCATTACAGGTACAACATATAGAAATTTGTACACACAATAGAGCATTCCATTATCCAAACTGTAGTTATGCTTGCATCAACACATCAACATTAATGGGAACCACTGTATATATACAGATCCTGTTTATTATTCATCACTTGTATCAATATCATCCAGGTTTGCACATCATGAGACATACGACGTTTACGTGCACGCTGTGTCTAACTGGGATGTACAAGAAACAAGAAGGATTTCCCTTGAATTTGAAACTTCATGGGTTGTGTTTTCTGTTCTTGCTGTTAACTGTCAAGGGTCAAGATGACCACCATATACATCAACTACACAACGACATCATCAAAAACAACAACCCAAGGGTAAGACCTGTCAAGAACAGCAGTGATGCTGTCACGGTCTCATTACAACTTAATCTTCTCAGCATGTCCGATTTTGATGACGTGACTCAGACAGTAACAGCTAATGGTTTTTTCTTTGTGACCTGGAAAGATGAGTTCCTAACTTGGAACGACAGCGAGTATGGAGGGGTCAGTGAAATAAGTCCTGACTATGGGATGGTGTGGAGACCTTACATCACTATTCGTAACGTCGTGGATAGTGTTGAACCCCTGGGACTCGACTTCGGAATCATTAAAGTGACAGCCAATGGAATTGTGACTTGGTTGCCTGGAGATACCTTCAAGATTTTCTGCCTAATGGATGTTACTAACTTTCCTTTGGATGAACAGATGTGTACTTACATTACGTTAGACTGGGGACATAGTCTAGATGAAATTGATTTAAAACCGATCAATAACTCTATAGGATTGGACCTGTTTAATGCTAACAGCCAATGGGATATCATTGACTCATCTGCTCAGAGAGTGGTCCTTGAATACATCGGCAAATCATCTTCACTTATAAACTTCAATATGACACTGAAGAGAAAGCCATCCCTGGTGATACTGACAATTCTCCTGCCTGTCTTGATGCTGGGATTAGTGAATGTGATGGTGTTCCTCATTCCTGTGGATTCCGGAGAGAAGCTGTCCTTTGCCATCACAGTGCTGCTGTCTTTTACGGTATCGCTGTCTTTCGTCACTGGACTGCTGCCTAAGAATGCTGACAGTATACCCGTATTTACTATCTTTATTATTGGCCTGTTTTTAACTAGCTCTATCTACGTGTTTCTGACCATCTGGATCGTGCAAGTGTTCTATCGGGACGCTGCCATCAGGCCTGTTCCTTCCTGGATGGGGCGTATAACAAGGGCCTGGGAGAGATGTTTCTGTGGCACTCCTGCTGTTGGAAACCAGGAGACGGTGCCACAGGAAAGGATGTCAAAGGAATCATGGAATCCCCCATCAATGACCTGGATGCGAGTCAGCAGACTGGCTGACAGGGTTTTCTTTTGTTTCTTTCTCTCGCTGTTCATCATGACAACGGTGATTGGTTTTCTTAAGATAGCACATTTCTAACATGCCAAAGACATGTAAACCCAGTAAACTGAATGGCACACATCCTTGTAATAATAAGAACCTTATCATATTTGTATTGACGCATCCATATGTCACATACTCAGTGTGTTACATATCCATCACTGTCTTCTGTAGATGTATCACTGTGTTATATATTCAAGACTGTGTCTTCTATTGAGGTGTCAGTGTGTTACATATCCATCACTGTCTTCTGTTGATTTATTAGTGTGTTATATATTCAAGACTGTGTCTTCTATTGAAGTGTCGGTGTATAACATATCCATCACTGTCTTCTGTTGATTTACACTGTGTTATATATTCAAGACTGTGTCTTCTGTTGAAGTATCAGTGTGTTACACATTCAAGACTGGGTCGTCTGTTGAAGTATCAGTGTGTTACATAGTCAAAACTGTGTCCTCTGTTGACGTGTGCTTCATATTCAATGATTAGTAGTATGTTGACGTTTCAGTGTGTCACATGTCTTCTGTTGACCTATCATTGTCTTACATATTCAACATTGTGTCGCGTGTTGACGTTTCCATATGATACCATGTTCATTCTGTCTCCTGTATCTCATGCTTTTCGTAATGGAGAAAGATAACCCTTTTCATATTGATAAGAAACCTCTGCACAAAGCACAGTCGATTAAACGTTTCCGACTACACCATGAGCATGTGTTTATGAATCACTATCAAGTAGTCATCATACCAGATGTTTGCTAAAAGGTAAGAATACCCTGCCCCACCGGTTGCACCCGTCACAAACACATGCAAAGGCAAAGCATTTGCTCGCCTGAAATAAACGGTAACATTTTGTGCAAGTCAAAATAGCGAATTGCATCGTATATCATATTTGTCACTGATCAACTGATCACTTTGTCAAATTTGGGAATGTCCTCAACGTGTCTAACACAAACCTTTTGAAAGCTTAACTGAATCCTTGAATGTCGTTACCCTGATCAAACAACTTGGGCAAGAGTCGAATGGCAGCTTTGAAATCCTCAAAGAAAGAAGATGTTTGATTGTACCTCAAAAGTTGCGAAGTGTAAACACTTATATTGTAACCGTGATCACTCACCGCTGGCTGTGTCATTAAATAACATTCAATAATTCCTGTGTTGTCTATTAACGCAGTGTGACCCATTCCACAAAGCGATCTTAGCACTAAGGTGGTAACTACTCTGCTTTACCTTCAACTACCGTAATGACAAAATGGTTGCATATCGACATGTTATTGATCGAGTTTCGCCACGCATCTATTCTGCGTGAACTGGTAAGACGATCGTGCAAATAATAACTCTTTAAAATGATATCATAACACATACACTATTCGAGGGATGATTTAGCACGGGGTAAAGCTGCGTGTCACACCAATCAATAAAATCCATTAACTGGGTGGTATATTTTTTAAAGTAGCTTGTGTGATATTAACATCGCATTATGACAGTCTTAATATTATTACCAAGGAAAAGATACTTAAAATTTCTAAAAAAATGTGATAGTGTAGTCTGAAAACTATACCTCAAATCCATATACTTCTCGTGTAGTCTGACTGGATAGCGATTCGGAAAATCAGTGTTTGGTTCAGCTGCTATCGTTTTCAGTGCAAGAGATTTGTGTTGGAAGCCTACATTATTTTCTTGTCTTTTATAACGAAACTGAAATTTCATGGAAACAATTGCCCATTTCAACGTCCCTTTTTCACATCTACGTCTAAAATTTACACTGAAATTGTGTAATGACACCGTGATTTACATAATGCCCTAACAAAGTATTTATCATCTAACATACTTATATACTTCTCTGGTTCTATAGCAGACTTGATATCCTTGTAATGGCCAAGGAAACGTGAAGAAGATATACTATCATGTCAGTTTTGACTATACATATCCGGACATTGGACACCCAATTCGTTTTGCCTTTGTCATCAAGAGCTTTCAGTAGTTTTTAACATTGGTAAGGATATCTTTGCGGCTCCATCCTCAGTAATTTTAACCAATATTGTGTGATTCGAAGTTGACTTAATACATGAATGGGATAACGTACTGTTTCACCTAAAATAGCTTTGTTGGAAGCATATTTTTCAACCATTAAAAAGCGCTTAAAGTAGGAAGCACGTACTTTTTCAATAGCGTCATTATATATTGCGCCCCATATTCCTGCCCCCTTTAGCAAGATTAGAAGCTGAAGAAAAGGATACATGATATATTTTGCTTGAAAAGATTATAGATAGGTATAACTGCTTTTGATGGTTGCGATGCTAATTGTTTTCACGCAACTGACCATGATAGTTTAGATGATAGCGTCAGGCCTAAATATTTATAATAAGTAACAATTTTTAGGCGATATTACCATATGTCCATTTTTCATTTTTGGAAATGATTCCTCCATTTCTAATAAAAGCAATTACATTTGTTTTTGACAAATTAACTTCCAATAACCATCTACTGCAAAAAAGAATGTAATACATTCAATTGTTTTTCTAGACCATAAACAGAGTATGAAAACATTAAAATATCATCAGCAAATAGAAGTAACATCAAATCTCTACTAGCTTGTGTGACAAACACACCATAATGTTATTCGTTATATATTTCTGTGACGAGCTCATTAATGGAATAAAATACACAAAACTGGACTTAATATACACCATTAGCTGTTAAGAAGCATATCTATATCTATCTCTCTATCCATCTATCCATCTATCCATCTATCCATCTATCACATACATACACACACACACACACACACACACACACACACACACACACACACACACACACACACACACACACACACACACACATACATACATACATACATGCATACATGCATGCATACATGCATACATACACGCATATGTGCGTGCGTGCGTGCGTGCGTGCGTGCGTGCGTGCGTGCGTGCGTGCGTGTTCCCATGTACACTGGTTCATAATTCCAGATTGTATGTATGCCCCAAATATTGCAAGCATATCGTTCTCTTCCAGAAGTTAAATCTTCACATAACTTTCTATATCCAGTTTGTCAATGAGGGCGGAGAAGAATTCATTTCAATCATTTAGAAAATATTCACGTGATGTGATGGTTCGGGAAGCTATCTTAAGGGAGTATATGCAATACCTAAGATGAGGATACGTACGTGCTAGTTTCCATAATACATGTAGTTTACGTTAAGAGTGAACTGACCTGTATCGGACCAGATCTCCTCTCAATGACAGTCTGAGTTTCCACCTACCTTCTTCATATGAGGATATTGCATCACATACAAATATTCCAGTACTGATAAAGTTCAAAATGACATTTTTAAGGTTATATTTACAAGCAGTTAATATCATTGTGTCACATATGCAAGCGCTGGTTTTGATATTATGAGCATTGACAAAGGCTAAGTATACACATATAATATGTTTCAAAGGAGAGAAGCATGAGTTTGTACACAGTCTTCCGAGGAGTAGTAGCCTGCATTTGTCTATGTATCCTGTCAGTGTCCACAATCCAATGATTGCTATGTTTGAATCAGTTGGGGATTTTGGTCTCGACCTTGGATGGCTCTGGCATTCTCTATCTGAATCGTCTCTTTACCACGTATACCGCTCAGGAGCTCACACACATACAAGCTGGTAGAGAGAACCATTCGGTGCTATATTTTAACACATGCAATGGGGTGGAGATCATAACTATTTAATCCTACAGATTTGAGTGGGTTTACTGTGCGCCTTGCGTTTTGGCAACATCGCACTATCATATTTGTACATGTCAGTTCAGTGTTTGGAATCTGATGTTTTATTAGGAACACTATCCAGTTCAAATTTAAAGGGATTATGTTGGTATGAAGTCTACCTGTAATGTCAGGGGGCCAGAATATGTCATTGGAGATGACAGTCTCATAGTAAGAAGAGTCAATATTTACTTCTATGGTGAAGGTCTCAGATGTGTCGTAATGGCGTCATGTGTTCATATGCAATTTTAATAGTAAAGCCCTATGCTAGTTTATACTCTTATCTCCTCCCCATGAATCTATGTGAGGGAGGGTTGTGTTACATCTCCGTTACCGCCATCACAGGATTCCTCACCGTAGCATGTATTCAAGTCTCTACCAGACACATGAGAGATATCAGGAGCAGTGATTCACGCCATTGTAGGTAAGATGCCAAAACGTCCGCCTTTGACACATAGTAACTAGATCTACCCTTGACGTGAACAAAGACACTGAACTATGTCCCCGGGGCATTCACATTTCATAGTTGCATTTCAGGATATTGATTAGCTTCTAATCAGTAGGCATGTGGGCCATATTGACATTCACTCTAGGACTAATGTATCTATCAGCTTCAATTCAGTACGTAGTATGTGTGGGAGAGAATAATACATAAAGAAATACAGAATGTTCGAGGCGCTTTCTGCGCAGTCATTACATTTGACAGGTCTCAGAAGAGTAGAACTACAGTCTGTTTGGAGCAAAATGACACAGATGAATCGTTAATGTCCTCACAATGAAGTAAAAGTCAAAAGAACCTTCGAAGCAAACTATTACCAAGAATGTGAACTTTAAATGTTTGGATTCCAATATTGTTACCATGGAAGCGTTATTGGCCTAAAAATAAGACTGAAAATCAGGAGCGTTTTCTTAAAGGAACTTACCTTCGGCAAAATAGAATTTCCTTTTTTCGACTTACACAATAAATGTATTCATTTACATGATATAATCAAGACATATCCATTCTTAAGAAATGAACTTTTGTTAAGTGATGTATGGCCTTTGCCATTTGCTGTTATCAACTCAACCTAACATACAAAAATTTTGAAAATATACTCTTTGTATCATAGAGCTCTACAACTTTAAGCATCAAATGGCAAATGTCCTACTGTTACGTTAAAAGTGATAAATTGTTATAGGATTGATATTTTATGACAAAAGACCACTGTTGTCATGGTACGGATCTAGAAAAAAACCACAGACATGTCAGCCATTCAGTTGACCCGCCCCGAGGTCATTGATGAGGACTGACATGATTCATTCAACATCATTTTAGTCGTGATAGAGTGCCCTCGTTTCCCACAGATGAAGTGCCAAAAAAACATTTCTCCCAGGCCCTTGCCATACGCCCCATCCAGGAGGGAACGGTCCTTGTGGCAGCGTTTTGATAGAACATCTGCACGACCCATGTGCTCAGAAACACGTAGACTCATTACAAACAGGCCAATAATTAAGATAGTAACCACGGGTATACTGTCACCGTTCTGAGGCAGCAGTCCAGTGACGAAGGTCAGGGATACCATGAAAGACAGCAAAACTGTGATGGAGAAGGACAGCTTCTCCCCAGACTCCACAGGAATGAGGAACACCACCACATTGACTAATGCCAGCTTTAGGACAGGCCGGAGAGTTGTCAGTAACATCGGTGAAGGTTTTCTTAACATCTATTAAAACAGTGGCCATCAAGAACAACACTTGCAGATTACGTGTTTAGGATATTCCATGGACTGTTTTGGTGAAAGGAGGCTAGACCTATAGTATAACTAATTGGTTTTATATTAACTTCATCATGTCCAACATGTCCAATTTAATATAAAGTAAGAACTGTCCTGTTCATCCAAAGGAAAGTTGGTTACATCAAATTGGCAGAAGGTTTTGAAGACTTTTCCCGACATCCAAACCACAAATCCATTAGCTCTAACTTTTATGATCCCAAAGTCGATTCCAAGAGAACCAAGACTAGCCACCGTGTTCTGAACACCTATGCTAGTTCGCCACACCATCCTTTTTCACTGTCACTTCCATACTCGATGGTGTTCCAGGTTAGGAACTCATCCGTCCAGGAGACACAGAAAAGCCCCATGTCAATGTCTGAGTAACTTCAAACTCAGACAAGGTTGAATTTAACAAGACAATTATGGTTTTACCGATCCTCACAGGATGGATGATATTGGTTATTGTGTTTGAGGATGGCATTGTGTAGTTGATGTGGACACTACGCAGAAATAGATACGAGTGATGAATAATACATAATAAATAGGAACTGTTTATATACACTGGCATCGATTGTTTCGATAATGGAATGGTATATGGCTTGCAC